TGTATTCTTTTGGAACAACAACAACGATTTAGAAGATGCCTTTCACTTAAATGGTGGAATTTTCAGAGAATTTAACATGCAATAGAAATACATTTTTCCTCTATCATCTGTACCCTGATTTTCCAGATTTTGATGATCCAGTCAAGGTGGCTGGATGTGGCCATAAGTTTTATGCGAGTGTTTTCTTTTTTCGCTTGTGGAGCTCTCTTCAAGCTTCTTACTTTCCAGTCAAGTTTGATCTTCAAAAATTCAAATGCAATGTCAAGTGTTGTTTTCTTAATTTGTGTTCTTTTATTGTTCTTGCTCCTTAATGTTTGCTTTTTCTTATATTCTTACACACTCAGTAACTCTTTGTGTCTTGGTGGCTTTATTGCCTTGCTTGGAGTAAAATGATTAAAAAAAAAAGAAAGTTCTACCAATTTACTTTTGTATTTGAAGATATCTCTCCCTCATCTATATGTGTGTGTGTATATATATATATATATATATATATATATATATATATACACACACACATATAATACAATCTACAGTTAATGTTGGTGGTAATAAAATAGCCTTCAATAACAACAGAGCTAAAATTAATACTAATAATAAATATATATTTTGCATACCAAATGCTGATGTACAAAATATACTTATTATTAGTGTTATACATATACACACACATATATATATATATATATATATATTATTTTTTTAAAATGTGATTCCATCACCACATAAGAGTTCTCATGTTTCAAAGAGAACTCTTATGTAGTGATGGAATCATATTTTTTTTAAATATTTAAAAAAAAAATAATTATAATGTAGGCTCTACTTACGTATTGAGCACTGTTTTTTAAAAATAAAAATAAAATTAATAAAGAACTTTGGATTATTAACCTAGCAGTTATTTCCTATTTTTCTATATATTTGCATGCATGCATACACACACACACTATATATATATATATATATATATATATATCCGAATGTAATGCAAATGAAAATAATATATAAATTCTAACGTTCACAGCATTAATTCAAAAGAGGGGCTCAATACCAAGAGTAGAGTAATAATTATTTATTATAATTTTTAAATACGGACAAAAACAACTTGCTCACTCTAGCAGCATCAAAACAAGAATGCATCTTTTGTAGTGAGCAAGTTGTTTTTGTCAGTATTTAAAAATTATAATATATGAGTCTTACTGCTCTGACTTATTTTATTTCTTCGGCCATTGAGCATTTTATGCTTTTATATAAGTGTCTGCCCATTTTCTCTTTTGTGTTTTTTTTTTCTTTTTTTTGTTTCATGTTCTCCTTTGGTAGGGTTGTTTTTAATGTTTTGCCAATAGCTTGGTTTTCATATATATATATATATATATATATATATATATATATATATATATGCAGCATATCTTCATTCAATCATGTTTAGTTCAATAATCTAGTTACACGTCTATTTATTTTTAGTGTAATCCTTTGAAATTGACACATCAATTTCTTAATGTTATTAAACTCTTTTATTTTTTCATTTCTTTTGAAAATAGGAAACTAAAACTTCAAATTCTTGAAGTCCTCTACATAAAAAATACAGCCAGCACTAAATAAGATTAATTATGAGTATAGCAACAATGCTTTCAAATGCCTGTAACAAGGTTTTAAAATACGTAAATTGTAATTTTTTAAAATTACACTTATAACAGCAATGTTTTAAAATATTTAAATTGTAATTTTTTAGAATTTACAAATATAAATTAAATTACCTCCCTTAGATAACATTAAATTTTGAATTAAGAGTGTTTCATACGCATTTACAAAAAATCACAACTATCAATAATATTAATTTTTTGTCTTAGCAATTCACCCCTGAAGATGATCTTAAATGAGATTAGAAGTACTGGTCAAAATATAAGAAATGAAAAAAGCTATTATACCTTCCATCTGCTTCAAGCTGGGTTAAATATATAATATATATATTTATATATATATATATATATATATATATATATATATATATAAGTAAAACAGACCACTTTAAGGTTCCATTAGTTATAATTTATTTCACCAGAGAATTTTATATTTCTCTGGATCTTCAGACTCCACTTTCAGATTTGAAACAAAAAAGGAATTTAAAATTTACACTTTTGACAGGCAGTATTAAGCTTATAGAAGTTGATATAGAGGGTGGTGAGGAATAGTGTAAGAGACATGGTCGAGTTTATAGAGAGAATGGAGAGTTTTAAAATTTATTTTTATTACAATACTTAATATTGAGGAGGAGGGGATAAGGATCAGACATTGACCTATTTAATCGGTCAACTCAATGGAAATGTTATAGGAAAGGGAAAAAGGGGGGGGGAATATATATAAAACTTAGTTTCCTGGTTTTGCCTTCATCACAAGGCCTGTAGATACTTTTGTTTGAAGTTTAAAAAAGAACCTTACTTAACACCTCACTCTGTAGCAGCAGTTAACACACCAGTCTTGCAGATTATCAATACTCATGTGTATTCAATCCTCTGCAGGAACTCCATATTTTTGTCCTTATGCCATATTCAATTATGCAGAATATTCAGTCTTCTCTCTTGTTTGTTGCAACAAATGGATTGTTGCTTTGAAAGGGGTTAAATTATCAAACATGGAAAACCCATCTTCAGTTTTGTTTACCCATCAGCTGCTCACTAAATCCAGGAAGCCAGTTCCCATGGAAACCTAACCTAACCTGAGAAGTGTTTGGCAAAGACACATATCCCATCTCTCACAACTGTTAATCTTGCTAACCTACCTGGAATGTTGGGAGACCTGGAAGAAATCTTGTACGGAGACATGCTCTGGTAATTCCAAACTAACCTCAGCTGAAAGTTGTTGCAGTAATTCATAGACATCAATCTATGCACTCAAGGAACCTGAAGTTGAACATTTTTAGATTCATTTTTTATCCATCAAATGTTGTTCACTTTGGAGAATGGAAGTGTAGTTAACTTGATTATTAGGCAACTTAAATAAATTCATTCTGTTTTTTTACTGTTTACCCATTACAAGGCTCAAGAGAAACTCAATGTAGAGTGTAAGAGAGGGAATTGTAAGTGAAGATCATATCTATTTTTTTTTTTTTTTTACAATGATGTTCACACTATGAAGGGCCCAAGAGCCACCTGAGGTAGAAGGTTGAGAAAGTATCCTCTTGGGAGTCAATTCCACAAAGCAGCCATTTGTGGGAAGAGGTTGCTTGAACTTACATCTCGCCAATGGAATACAAAAGGAATGAGGGTGGGTCACTACAATGTGAGCATTGTGCCAGGTCTTAGGTGTGAAGGCTGGAACTGATGAAACTAAGTTTGAAATATAATTTATTTGAACGCTTTCAATAGAAAAAGCAATAGAGCAGCAAAAGGCCTGCAATGTTACGTCTGTGGTGAAAAGGGTTGTAGAATGGAAAATAATTCATCACCCACAAGGATACATTTGGATACTATTGAGACTGGAATGTGAAGACTGTATAGCTCCTGCCCATATGTGGTAGCAGTACTCCATTTTTAGCCTGATTTGGCTCTTGTAAATCTAGATGACAACAGAAGTTGTCTGGCATTTACTAGAGCAGTAAAGAGAAGAGACTATTTTTCCACCATCTTTAGTGATGGATCAAGTTCCATTTGAGGTCTGGGTGGATTTTAAGTCCCAATCAGTGCTCAAGGGAACACTCGTTCATTGTGATAGGTAAAAATTGAGGGTCTATGTTGGATATATAACTACTAATCCTTGCTTTGAAGCCGTTAACATTGGAATGTTCTGGGAGGCATCTATGCAACTGACTGTTCCACAAAGTAGCTGTTCTTGGAGAGAAGCTTTCCGAGTGGAGTGCTCTTCTTACCAAAGGAATGTGTAGTGAATTGGAGGGGGATTCAACGTTGTGGACATATCAATGTGGGTATGGGCTGTAATGATTGGAACTGATGACATGAAAGAAAAGAACTCATTGAAAAATTTGCCAGGGAAATGGCTTGTGACATTGTGTCTGGAGGGGGGGTTGTCAGGTGTAAAATATGTCATCACCTACAAGACCATGTAAACGTTTTTGAATTCTGTCAGGGCCGGGAAGTAAAGATCGTGTAGCTCCAGCCCTGAATTTTTTTTTTTTTTTTCTTTTTTGTAGCGAGAGAATGCACTTACCTCACCGGGCGAAGTGGGCATGTACCTATCGCGAGGAGTGGCCATCTGTAATCGTTCCATTACATATGCATGACACTATGCTGTTTGATACTCTCAATCATTTGTATGCATGAGTGGAAATAGTAATAAATAGTGAATTGCACAGAGTGAACTCATAGAGTATGGAGAGTTTGGTTGGATCAGAGTGCATTTAAGTTTCACTGTGAGAGTTGAACCCTGGTGATGTTGTGCAGATTGTGATTTAATTTTGTTTTTTCATCAATTCACCCCAAGCAAGGTGATAATGCCACTAAGATGCAAGGGTTTACTGGGAGTCAAAGAGAATAAGAAGACTTTAGAAGAAATGAGAAACCCAATCCTAAACAGGGAAAAAAGGGATAAACCTCTAATCCTGTTCAAAACACTGGAGTGAAGTCTACGATAAGCGAACATAACCATTCTTATATGTCAGCAATGCTCCATTCTTGGTCTGATCTAACTCTTGTAAAGAAAAAAAATGGTAGAAGTTAAAGCAGGCTATTTTTTTAAGGCAATACAAGAAGCAAACCACTGATTTATGGTGAGTTGTTTTCGTTTAGTAGCATATTAACTTCTATAGGTTATTCAATGCCTCTATCTATCTATCTATATATATATATATATATATATATATGTATAAATTTATTGAGATAATAATCATCTTAGGGGTCCAAACTTTGCAATCCATAGCTAGTGGGTGAAGAAGTGATCCAATCCTTACAATCCATAGCTAGGGGGAGAAGTGGATTCATATCTTTTCCAAGGTATTTGTGCATAAGTGAATGCAACAAATCCAACTAGAATTGGATCTTGTATATCCACACTTACAGCACCTGGTATTCCCAAGTGGTCACCCATCTAGGTACTGACCAGACTCAATGTTGCTTAACTTCAGTGATCAGATTAGAATTGGTGTTTCAATGTGATATGACTGTAAGGTATACCACTCACACATCCAAATTTACAGTACCTGGTATTCCCAAGTGGTCACCCATCTAGGTTCTGACCAGGCTCAACATTGCTTAACTTCAGTGATCATACAGGAACCAGTGTTTGAAAGTTATGTGGCTGTAAACCTTGATCATTAAGTATTACTTAGACTGGCACAGGACCAAAATAAATGAGCACTTATTTTTCTACATAGACCTGTGGGACTTTTGTGTACCCAATACAAATGCCAGAAACATTAAATTCTTTCCTCCATTTTGTTTCTTGTCTGGTGAAGTTCTTATTTCAAATGGCCCACTTAATATTCTTCTGATAATTTTCTTCATGATTATTTTGTTAGACATTTGTTAAACTAATATAAATATTCCTGGTATAATATTTATTTGATCTGGTATGTTTATTTTATATACTTAATAATTCCCACTGATATGCCTATTCCAGATGATAATTGTATTTGATACAAAAGAATTTGTTATAATTCTATTCTGTTATTAGTTATTATTGCTAATCTCTTACTGTGCCTAATATGATCTACAGTAAGAATGACTCTTCTATCCGTCACATAACTTTTATTACGGTCCCATTGTTATAATTGTACTATTTTATTATTTGTTATTTTAATCATTAAATTGTTTTTAAAATAGTGAGAGTATTTTGTATGTTAAATAATAAAACTTAATTTTTCCAAAAAATGAATAAAAATTTATTGTACAAAGCTATCCACTCTAGTAAAACTGTATCTTGTGTTTTCAAGATAACAGAGGAAAATAGATAAGACAAACTCATAGGTAAGTAATGAAATAGGTTTACTACATGACAGTATACTTAGCAATTGACTTAATGCTAACTTTCCTCAACTACCACATATTTATATAAACAGATGATTACATTCATTGATGTACTATATGAAAATGCCACAGTCTGTCTGAAAACAACTGATGAAATATTGCTTAACTTTGGTGATCATTCAGGCACTGTTTTATTCTCGTCACTAAGTGTTTTCGAGATAACAGTGGAAAATAAATAAGAAAGACAAACTCATAGGTAAGTCATAGGTAAGTTACTACACGCAGGTACAAATAGCAAATGACCTAATGTTAATTCTGCTCAATTCTGCTTATTTACATAAATGGATGATTATATTCATTTATGTGCTATATGACAAAAAACAACTGTTCTCTATACACATTTACCTGTTTGCCCTTCTCCCTAAAATTTGGTTTTAATCAGTCAATGTATGGCTACTTTAGAGGGTGTGATGGATGGATAAATTAACAGAAGTCACACAGAATTTTATATATAGATTGTTGATAAACCCTTACATGTACCAAATATACTCAGGTATAATGTGAGTTTTTATGATGAATTTTTTATACAAAAATAGGGTTTTGCCCTATACACTGGGAATTTTTTTTGAAGAGGTTATAAATCATGCATTTTCAGTGACTGGTTGTACTATACACTGGTAATTTTTCCTCTGGTGGGATTAAAATTCATGCAAAATATTCAGAGGCCATACTATACATAAAGTCAACTTATACAGGAGTATATACAGTAATCATATTTCTCTTTGTTATTCTGAGATCAAAAGTAGTTTCTTCTGAATATCCAGTGACAAACTTTATTTCTCAAAGATGCCACATTGTTTACTATCAAGCGGTCTCCACCTTCTGCACTTAAATTTACTCAGTCAACCCAGAAATAATCAATTCCTAAGCTTTCCATAATTCAGGTGCCAAAATGTAAGAATATAGAGTATTTATATGCATGCTGCTTCAAATATAAACTGAAAAATTCCAGACAGCACAAAAGGGATGCCAAGGGTACTATCATTCAGAAGCAGATACCTAAGTCAACCAGTTATAACTGATTTAAAAAAAAAAAAAAAAAAAAAATTAAGGTATGAATGAAAATATTAGGCTCAGTCTGTGTGAGGAGACATAAATACCTTTGTTTATAATCAACACAAAAAAATTCTTGGATAAAATAGGTATTTGAAATAAAAGCCAGAATTAAGAAAAACCTTTGACTCACTGCGCATTTTTGTGCGCCATGTAGAGTAATAGACTATGGTCAAGTCTAATTGGCAAAAATTCTCAGCAAATGGAGTAGACAAAGTTTCCATTGAACAATAATAAAAGGAAGAAGAACAGGGCGAAAATAAAACTAAGCAAACAATAGTTGTATTGGCTAGACGTAACTGTAAGTTCTATACTAACAGTTTCTTCTCTCACCCTTCTCACATTACCTTCTGTCTTCTTAATTCTTGTTCTTTTCTTGTTCTCTCTGATTGATAGTATTTTTTCCTCATAGTCTCAGTAACCCCCTTGCATCTTGATAATTATTTTAAAAAATGGTAGGCAAAGTAACATTAATAAGGCAAAAATTCTCAAAGTAAGGATGGTGTTAACATACAAAAAGGATATGGTCAAATGATTGTAGCCTTCTAAAATTCAAAATAAGAACAAAAATATGGTGGATGAAACCAAAAATTGGTTAGGAAGAAATCCCAGCATGCATTTGTCTGATTTGTCTATAAATTTGGGGAGGAGAATCTTTTTGTAGTTATTCTTCTGGATTGAAACCAACAGGCCGATGTATTCTCACAAGTAGCCTAGGCTGCTGGGTAATGGGTGTTTTTAATCAAGTCACCATTTCTAAACTGATTACCAACTAAGGCTATAGGACCTAGTCTATCCTGCTATTTAACCCATAGCTCAGGGGAGATGAATTCATACCTTTCCCAAGAGTATTTGTACATAAATGAATGTAACGAACTTGACTGGAATTCAAACTCTCCAATTTCTCAATCAAAGCCACAATCCTTTACACCACCTGCACATCCAATGCCAAAATAACCAGTATTTGAAACTAGCATAAGTTTTAAAAAAGAAAAATTCCTTCCCTTAAAATAACCTGATGTTTGATCATTTTGTCAGATTTTGTATGTCTGTTGGGCTGAGAACTTTTCAGCCAAACTCGTATGATCTGTAAGTATTTCTTTTTCCTTGCAATATTTCAGCTGATGATGTCTTTGACTTTCCTGGGTCATATGTTGCATTTGATGATCCTTAGGTCTAAGTGGCTTTCTGGGGGTTGAATTGTTTTCCACCCTACATCCACTTTCCCCATAAATGAAACATTGCAAGTCTCTTGCTACTTTATCATTATTTTCATGCCAAGTGTCTTGAAAATCTACATTCATTAGTTCCACTAGTTCCTAACCTTTACAGTTGGGACCCGACATACCATGTACATATGGATAAATCCTCCTCATTCTCTTTATCATTCATTAGTAAGAAGGAAGTTTCATTCAGACAGATTCTCCCCAATAACAGCTGCTTTGTACAACAGATTCCTGATAGAATGTTTTTCCAGTCACTACATAATATAATGTATCTGTTAAAAAAATTAAAAGAAAAATGATGTAATAAAAATTTTTTAAAATAATGTTTATATATATATATATATATATATATATATAATGTAAATGTTTGCATTTATTGGCCCCATAGAAAGTGGGAGTTACGGGATGCAAAATGAGTGTACTCAGCCATTCCGTTGAGGGCATGTTGATTCCAATCTCTGTTAGGAATGACTGCAAAACACTTGCTCCTCCCCAATCTATAGGCAGAAGTGCACAAATGCATGCTGAGATTTTTTTCCTAGCCAATAAAATAAGCCAAGTTCTCAGTTTTATCTGACTCAGTCCCAGTCTGACTTGTCTTGAAGTCAGAACACTTCTTTATTTATTCAAACTTGCTTTTGTGTGTCAACCCCAATTCTTTGTTTGTGAACTTTTTTCCCTATTACTGTTGCTTTGCCTTGTATATATATTGTTTGCTTGCTTTATATTATTTTTGGCCTTGTTCTTTTCTTTTTTTCTTATTATTGCTCATTACATACTTTTTCTATTCTGTTTGTTGGACAGTTCAATTATTTTGCATGGCTATTCACTGCACATTTAAAAAAAATTAATTTGCCTATTGAGAATCAACAGATAAGTTAAACAAATAGGATGTGTTATTAAATACTGATAATGACAACAATAAATGGACAGCACTGATGGATTGTGGGTAAATGGTTTATGGTTGTTAATATTCCTATGGATGTGTAGTTAATGTAAAAGAGGAAGTCAGGCAGATTGCAAAGAGATAGAGGATGACCGTATGGGAAGATGCAGACAAGACAAAAATTTGTTACATTCTCATTGAGACCGAAGTTAAGAGAAATCTGGTTGAGTCTAAGCTTTGCTCATCTGCCTACAAACTACAAACATTTTTTTTTAATTGTTTCATTAAGACACAGTGAATTAAATAGTGTGAAAGTATATATGTGTTGTAGAGTAGTTTCACAGTGGAATCTTGTATTTGTACTAAGTCGGTCCTAAAATAGGTTCAACGTACAAAATGTTAGGAACTTGATATAATAGGTAATGACGCAGTAATCTAGTTGGGGTGGCTGATACTTTAATATCCAACTAATGGTCGTCCGGCATCAACTGACTGACCAACTCACTCAGTGACTGCTACTACACCTACTTATTATAGGTGGGAGAGTCTATTAACAATAGAATAGGTGTGTTCCACTATAACAATATGAAAAACATTATTAAGGAGTGAGAACAATAAAAGAAAAGAAATTAAGAGAGAAGATAACAAGTGACACTACATTCAAATTTTTGAAGATCAAACATGACTGAAAAGTAAGAAGCTAGAAAATAGTTTAACAAATAAGAGGTGCAAGAAAAGAAACTGTTAGCATAGAAGTTAAGGTTACATCGAGCAATCTTCACTTTAAAATGATGAGACCTGTCTGACAATCTAGTACTGCACTTGAATTCATAAAGTCTAGCTACCATAAAGCTCATCAGAACAATTACCATGAAAATAATGCAGTATGGCAGTGGGAAAGTGACTGAAGCCTAGATGCCAGGTCAGGACTAATAACATTGCAGATTCTTCTTTGGATTTTATTAACAATTTCTAAATATGTAACGGGAGCACCAGCTTAATATAAAAAGAAATAAAATATGCTTATTTTGTTGACTTTATTTAATCCAAGAAGTCAAGTGCATGACCTTGAAAAGTAGTTTGTATCCCAAAGTTTA